CCTGTGTATATAGATATAAATAGAAGTTGAAAACAAGGATTTTCTAGAGAACTATTGTTCGTTAAGCTGAAGTTTAATCCGCATATATTTTGCTGATCCTGGCTCCTCCCCCATTCATCAGAATTCTCCTTCAGTTATTAAAAATACCTTTCCATTACATACCTCATTTTAGACCCAGTGATGTCATCATCGGGTCCCTGCTGCTTCTCTGTGGAGTGCAGACAGATCACGGCTGGTGGGAGGGGCTGGCAGGGTTCTGTACCTAACGTTTTGAAAACATCACAGCTCCGTGCCTCAGTACTGCTCTCAACGCCCTCAGCCCTGATGCAAGCAGTGGGTCGGCTCTTGGGAGGAGTTAAGCAAATATCAAAATGTCTTGATGGTCGGGTGTCAGTCCGGAAGAGTGGGCGGTCCTAGGCAGGCTGTATTTGCATGCAGAACACCCATGTGATGCTGAGCCTCCATTTTTGAACATACCGAACTGCAATGTATGAAAGGGGAGGGGCCAGGGACAGTCAGACTGGGGAGGAAAGCATAGATGATGCTGGATGTCCTCCAGCCAGGAAATGAGGCGGGCTCTATGTGACCTGCTGCAGCTTCTAATGCACATTGTGAGAAGCTCCCAGTGTGCAGTGACATCAGAGGAAGAGCAGAGCCCCCCCCCGCGCCCCACACGTGTCAGGTTAAGGTTTAATCTGGAAGGATAGCAATGTATTTTTATCATGCGATGAGCCCTTATCGCAACAGAAAATGCTCCGCCCCTCGCCAGGGACTTTATGTAAATGACGAGCCTGTGACATCTGTGTGTGTGGGCTGCGGAGGGGGGGATGGGAAAGGGGGGGTGTAATACAGAATTTGATCTGCGTTTCCATTGCCATACTCAATATGGCCGACGCACAGACAGAGCCATGGCCGGGGGTAGATTTTAACATGGATGCAATCAGCGTCACTTCTGGCTTTATTTAGGGCATTCACTGGTGTCTCTTCTTGCACCTCCGATGCCAATTCTGGATCCACAGGATGTGTAGTGGTGCATTGGCAGCAACCTAGGGTGGTTGTTGGGCGGCGGGGCCCCGTTTACCGACCCCTGGAAGTTATCTGGCGGCTTTTCAGCCAGCCGAATCCAGTATAAAGCCGACAACAATCGGGGTGAATCTCCCCAGTGGGGGCGGCCCCCCTTGCACAGATTTGGTTGTAGATGCGTTTAAGGAGATCCATTAATCCAACAAGTAACGGGGCAGACGGCGCAGCAAAATATTGGTAAATAGAACGCTAAAGTGTATCTACAGCCAAAGCTTTGGAAGGGTGGCCCCCTTCGCTGGGGAGACTCACCCTCATTATTTGTAAACGTCATACTTTATTATAGCCACTAGATGGCGATGAGGATCATAAGAAATGAAGACTTATTTCCTAATGCTGCTCAGCTCCATCTAGTGGCCGTACTGAGGTATTGCATTCAACCTGAAAAGAAAATTCACCAAGAACATCCGTTTTTGCCTCTATTCTCGCAGAATATTCGTTCACAGAGACCTGCAAATGGCTCTCAGAAATAGAACTCTGTGAGTGTTAATACATTTCATTTTAGCTTTTTGCTGGCTTTGAAAGAGGGTTCTATTTTGTGCGCTCAACCGCTCACACTGAAATATCAGTTTTGGTTGATATGAGCCTTTAAAATGTGAAGTTTGAAGCGCCCGTGATTAGAATCTAGCTGACAGCTCGGTCGGTTTTTGCCCAAGTTCCTCGCTCTTGTTGCCCCCGAATATTTTCAATGATTCTATTTTGTGCCGTCCTGAAGGACAGTCCGCAGGCTCGGGTGCCAGATGGCAGCTCTCTGTGTTTGTATTGAAGCTCGCCCAACAATGACAATAGACCCGGAACGGAACAATACACAGATCACATCTCGGCCTTATTCATCTGAAACAGGTTTATCAGATAACGGCTGGCATCGATCGGCGCCAGAGAGCGGGGCCCGATCACCCCGCACGGGGCCCGGAGTCTGTTTACAATGCATGTAATGACTTTTATTGATCTGCGCCGGGTTCTGTAAGAGTTTAAGCCAGCCTGTGAATTCATTACACAGAATATACTGCACCGTCCTCCATCACATTCACTGCGAGGGTGTGTACTCCTCTCTTCACTATACATACAATACATATTATTATTACTATTATTATTTTTTATTATTTAAAAATATATATTAGGGCTGTGGAAATTAAAGATTCATTTCTCGATTAATCGTTAAACTTTTTGATCGATTTAAAATTATTTTGATCGCTAATGAAAACACTCGCCTCTCCGC